TATAACAGGACCAGTATAGACACAAGCCCATTGTATGAGGCCATGAGAATATCATTAGTTACTTTTACTAGTGCTGTTTCTGTGCTATGATAAGCTCTAAACCCTGACTAAAACTCTTCAAACAGATTATTTCTTTGTAGATGTTCATGCAACTGACCTGCAACTATTTTCTCTAGAATTTTTTAGATGAAAGTTAGATTAGATATAGGTCTATAGTTGGCCAGAATTTCTGAATCAAGATCAGACTTCTTAAGTAAAGGTTTAATTACAGCAACCTTAAAGCTCTGTGGTACATAACCATCCATTAAAGACAAATTAAGTAGATCCAAAATGTGGACATTAATTAGGGGAAATACCTCTTTAAACAGTCTGGTTGGGATGGGATCTAGCAGACGTGGATGGATTGGATGAGATTATTATTTTTGACAATTCAGAGAGCTCAACAGGACAAAAACTGTCCAAACATAAATCAGGCTCTAGTGAAATTTTTAAAGTTCTCTCATTTGACAGGGGACTAGAGATAGTAGAAGGAAGGACGGTTTGAATTTTCTCTCTTAATTTAAATAATTTTATTTATAAAGAATCTCATGAAGTCATCACTACTTATAGTTGTAGGGATACATGTTTCAACAGAAATGGGACTTTTAATTAGTCTAGCAATTGTACTAAACAGAAACCTAGGGTTATTTTTATTCTCCTCTATTAAAAATGAGTAATATAAAGTTCTAGCGTTACGGAGAGCTTTTTTATATGTTAGCAGACTATCTTTCCAAGTTGAATAGAATTCTTCAACATTAGTAGAGCGCCATTTTCTCTCCTGGTTTCTAGATGCCTGCTTTAAAGTACGTAACTCAGAATTGAACCAAGGAGCCAGTTTCCTCTGATTGATTACTTTCTTTTTAAGTGGAGCAATTTTATCAAGTGAAGTTTGCTTTGAACTTATAAGATGATCAACTAGATGATCTAAGTCACTGTTCTCTGATGCATTACTCTGCAAGAAAGAGGAAAACATTGATGGAAGAGATTGTTTAAATTTGGTTACAGCATTTTCTGATAAGCACCTGCTGAGATGAAATTTACTCTCAGTGACTGTGTAGTCATTTAATGTAAACTCAAAGGTTAATAAAAAAATGGTCGGACGGAATAGGATTTTGAGGAACTATTACCAAGTCCTTAATCTCTATACCATAGGTCAGAACTAAATCAAGAGTGTGATGATAAGAATGAGTAGATGTGCGGACGTTTTGGGTAAAACCAAATGAGTCTATTAAATTATTAAAGGCCATGCTTAAACTATCACTCTCAACATCCACATGAATATTGAAATCACCCATTATGATGATTTTATCAGTATTTAATAATAGGTCAGTTAATAATTCTGAGAATTCAGACAAAAACTGAGAGTAAGCACCTGGTGGACGATGTATAACAACTAGTAAAAGTGGCTTTTCTGATTTCCATTTTGGATGAGAAAGACTGAGGGACAGTGATTCAAAAGAATCATAACTAATAACTGGTTTGGCATTAATCAATAATCCTGACTGAAAAATAGAAGCTACTCCTCCACCTCGGCCAGTTGTTCTAGGAACATGAAAATTTAAATAATTAACAGGAGTGGATTCATTTATACTAATAAAATCCTCCTGTTGTAGCCAAGTTTCTGTCAGAAAGAATAAATCAATATGATGATCAGTTATCATTTCATTAACTAACAGGGATTTAGAGGAAAAAGATCTGATGTTCAATAATCCACATTTAATGATTTTATGATTTTGCTCTGGTAAAGTAACTGTGTTTATTTTAATCAGATTTGTATGGTTTATATTTTTAGAGTTGATTTTTGGTTTATTTAATTTGAGCTGTGGGCGAGTTGACACTGTTTCAATGGGGGTGTGGGTGGGTAACAGAGGAGAAGCAGCAGAGAGGTGTGGAGGACTACAACTCTGCTTCCTGGACTGGACCCTGGGTTGTCAATAATTTGGGGGATAAACAAAATCAGCCATATTTCTAGAAAGAAGAGCGGCACCGTCCAAAGTGGGATGGATGCCATCTCTCCGCATCAGACCAGGTTTTCCCCAGAAAGAACTCCAGTTATCTATGTAGCCCACATCATTGTCAGAACACCACCAGGACACCCAGCTGTTAAACGACGACATACGGCTAAACATGTCATCGCTGGTCAGGTTGGGGAGGGAGCCGGAGAAAACTACGGAGTCCGACATGGTTTTAGCAAAGTCACACACCGAAGCAACATTAATTTTAGTGACCTCCGATTGGTGTAACCGGGTGTCCTTACCGCCAACGTGAATAACAATCTTACCGTATTTAGCCTTAGCCTTAGTCAGCAGTTACAGATAAGATTCAATGTCGCCCGCTCTGGCTCCCGGAATGCATTTGACTATGGCCGCTGGAGTCCCTAAATCCACGTTTCGGACTATGGAGCTTCCAATAACCAGGGTCTGCTTCTCAGCGGGTGTGTCACTGAGCAAGGAAAATCGATTAGAAATGTGAACGGATCGGTGGTGAACTGGGGGCTTAGCCTTAGCACTACGCTTGCTCCGGACCATCACCCAGCCGGCCTGGGGTCCCGGCTGCTCGGGGTCTGCTGGAGGACCGCTAACGGGAGCTAGCCTCTGTGGTTCCGCACTGTCTAAGGGGACCTGGCTAGCTACTGGTTTTTCTACAGCGCGGAGCCGAGCTTCCAGTTCAGACAGCCTCTCCTCCAAAGCTACCATAAGACTACATTTGTTACATGTATCATTACCACTAAAGGATGCAGAGGAGTAACTAAATATCTGACACACGGAACAAGAGAAACAGAGAAAGCAGGGAGAGAAGCAGCAGCCATGTTAAGCTAACGCTAGCAGGAGCTAGCAGAGCCAAATACACCAATAAAAACTAAGAAGTGTTGAAAGATTAGAGATGTTTTAAGCACTATCCAACAGTAGAAAAACAACTGTAATAAGTGTGTTTGTGAACTAGAATGAAAAACTGTGCAAAAGACAGATAAATCCAGAAAACAGAGACGACTCGAGCAAACAATTCACTCGAGCTACCGACAAACAAACAGGAAATGACACAATACGTCTCACCACAAACGTGCAACATCACACCACAAGGAGGCAGCTCAATCTTAATCTTAAACTGACCACCTCTACTGTATCATCAAAAGGAATGCACGTAAAGAGTGATGTGACATCAAAAGAGACCATTGTTTCATCAGTCTCCATGATGACATCCCTCACCTTATCCACAAAGTCCATGGTGTTCTGTATATGGTGTTCTTAGCTGCCAACTAAAGGGATGAGTACAGACGCCAGATATTTGGAAACATTGTAAGTGACAGAGTTAAAAGGAGGAACCCAGACCAGTGGTCATTCCGTATGTTGAAGGAGTATCAGAGAAATTGAGACGTTTATTTTCTAAACATAACGTCCCAGTGGCTTTTAAACCGCAAAATACATTACGGCAAAAACTGGTTCATCCCAAAGATCCAGTCCCCCAGCACAAACATAGTAATATTGTGTATGCTGTTCAGTGTCAGGAGGGTTGTGATCAGTCTTACATCGGGGAAACTAAACAGCCACTGGCCAAAAGGATGGCCCAGCACAGAAGATCAGCATCATCAGGCCAGGATTCTGCGGTCTAAACTCATCTCCAGGCCAGCAGTCACTCTTTCAGGGATGAAGATGTTCACATCCTGGACAGAGAGGAACAACGGTTTGAGAGAGGAGTAAAGGAGGCCATCTTTGTGAAAAGAAATCGTCCATCATTAAACAGGGGTGGAGACCTCCAGGTTCAACTGTCCCCCTCTTACAATGCTGTTATTGCTAGTATCACTCAACCCCCTGTGAATAGTAAACAGCCATCAGTGTGCTAATGATCCATTGTTAGGCTGATGGGCCTTCTTGACAATGTGAGCAGCTGGTTTTGGTTGTCAGCACCAAACTGGTTGATCCACTCTGAGAAGGTGCTGTTTAAGAGACTGAGCTGAATACAGCACCTCAGACTGAGGAAGTCTTTCGGATGAAAGACGAAACGTATCTAGATTTTTTTGCTTTTTTTTTTTTTTTTTTTTTTT